CGCTGCGACTTCGAAACAGCAAATACGAACGGATACGTTTTGAATGCAGTTTAAATGCAGTCGAAATGGCTTTGTCGAACAAGTTGCCCTAATTGGCGGCATGACTCATTGACGTCTACCTTGAATTCGCGCGAAGGTAAAATCCGGCAATTTTTTTAATTCTTTTGCTCAAGTAAGCGAACAATGGATATGGTATATGTCGATATATATTATAGGAAGTAATGTACTCATTCGTAGCAATTTCATATTTTATTTACATATAAATTTCCATCACATTTTTTCTCTTAAAAAACCATAAAACCTAAAAATATTCATATACAATTATACGATTATATTAAGAATAATTGTAGTAAAATCTTTAAAAAATCATAAAAATTGAATTGATGCATTTTGCACTTCTTCTTTTTCAAATAAGCAATATGTATTCGGCATATATGTAAGGCACCATTAATAGTTTCATACCTACACCCTTTCGTAAAATAATATTAGTTTAAAAAATACGTATTTTGAGATAAAATATCATTAGTTTTAAAAGCAGTCTACAATATTGCAGAAACATTATCAGTGACATTCTTTATCGATTAATACAAGTGTTGTAGCATTCATATTTAGCAATAAGGTATATTGCTATGATACAAAACGAGGAAGAGAGATTAATACATTCTCTTTAAAGATTGGCCGATTTTCCCAGGGCGTTAATGTGTATTCCGCTTTTACGCAAGCCGTCTGTCAATCTCTGAGCGAGTTCGACATCCACACGAGCAAAATTTCGCACGGCTCGCTCGACGATGAACGTCGAAGCGTTACGCAGACTTCCGACCATGTTCTGCACCAATCTTTCTCTAGCCGGCTCATCGAGAACCTTTTTCCAGAAGGTAGTAGCTTGTCCGAAATCATCCTCATCCTGCGGATCGTAACGATCCACATCTCCGCTCACAGGGAAGGACGGCGAACGAGCGGCCGGACACTCCTTCGGACCAGAGAAACTGTTCGGAAAATAATTCGGCGCGCCACCGTGATTGTGTATCGGCATGTGACCGTCTCGCTGATAATGCATCGTGGAAATTGCCTGCAGAATTTCATGATGTTAATAAATACTATACTACTTCAAAAATATAATATTTGACAAAATATATTATTAATTAATTCACGTAAAAAGTAAAAAATGGCACAATGTGTTTAATATGTGGAACAAGAAAATAGTTTTAGCTACATCAAGTAAAAATTACACACAGTTAAAAAGTTTGGTTTTCTGGAGATAAAAAATTTATCGCGACTTGCGCATAAAAAAGCGACATAAGCGTGAACCTATCAAATTATGTCATCTATGCTTACTAAAATTCACTATCAAAATATGTCATCTATGTTTAATTAGAATATTCAGTAATAATGACTATACGGTTTATCATGCCGTTAAAACATTAACAACCTTGTAAGGGCAATTCACTGGTAACTGAAGATGATTCGGGCCCAAGCGATGTCTATGAGTGTCGCCATAAGCAAACAATCGCCCCTGCAACATTTTATCGGGACTCGGCTCGATACCGGGTACCATGTGCGCTGGATCGAAGGCCAGCTGCTCCACATCAGCGAAATAGTTTTCGGGATTACGATCGAGCACCAGTTTGCCCACCGGTATCAACGGATATTCCTTGTGCGGCCATATCTATAAAAAATCGTAGTGCATTTAAAACCAGTTGCTAATCACAAATTAAAATATTGTTACGTTAAGGAATAATAAACCTTCGTTAAGTCAAATGGATTCCACTTGAGGGTCTTTGCCTGTTCAACAGTCATCACTTGGATATAGAACGTATAAGATGGATTCTGGCCTTTAGCAATAGCGTTATAAAGATCTCGGATTGAGTAATCGGGATCGGAAGCACTAAGCTCGCCGGCCTTCTCGGCAAGAAGATTCTTGATTCCTTGATTGGTCTAAAATTATTATTAAATTTATAAATATTAGATAATTTTTTAGATAGATAAAATAGTGTATTATTTGAAATAAAAGCGCAAACCTTGTAGTGGAATTTACAATAGACTATCTCATTCTTGCTGTTCACCAGTTTGAATGTATGAGAACCGTAGCCGTTCATATGCCGATATCCGTCCGGGATACCACGATCGCCAAAGAGAAACATAACTTGGTGCGTTGTCTCGGGCCTAAGAGAGATGAAATCCCAAAACATGTCAGCATCCTAAAAAAAGACTTTATTAATACGATTCTTGTGTACGCATCACAACATCTAACTTTCATATGTTAATATGAGATATGTATTTTACAAATGATAACCATTGCACATTGTAGCCGTTAGAAATAGTCGCTATTTGTAAACAAAATCACGTTCAAACCAACCTTCAAATGGGTCGCGGGATTTCTCTTTTGCGTATGTATGAAACTCGGGAAGAAAAGGGGATCCTTGATGAAAAAGATCGGCGTGTTGTTGCCGACGAGATCCCAGATACCTTCCTCGGTGTAGAACTTCACGGCGAATCCACGCGGATCTCTAAAAGATGACAACATGCAGAGTCCGTCGATAATAATTGAAAAAACACATAAAAAAACTTTGTATGTCATTATTGCTTATATCTCGAACCGCGAATTAATTGCATCAGCTAGGTAAAACGCAATTCAAAAAAATGGCATGTAATCCTTGTGAATCATTTCCTATTGCACCATGTTGAATGATGAAAACTCTACCACGAAAAGCACTTGAATGCAGTATTTGCTTTCCAGCATGCACATAATTAACCGAAGCGCGATCCGTGTATGGCTTCGATAAAAATATTGCAAGTGTTTATAGCAAAGACTGTATCATACTTATTTCAATAAAACAGGTTCGTGAAAGTAATTCTGTTCATGCTAGTTTTCTACATTATATATATAAATATATACGGCCTGAATTGCTTTTTTTATATTATAATCATTCTTAATATAATCTTTTAATTCTAGATGAAAATTTCATAATATTAACATAGAATGCAAACATAAAAAAATAATAACAATATAAGCATGCATCAAACCAATTCATAATAAAAAAAAGACGAAGAAAATGTGTTAGTATAGAAACTTCTTATAAGCGATTAAAATGACCTTCGCGGTAATCAATGTATTCATTTAACTTGTTACATCATGGATTGTCTCAATCGTATAAAAGTATTATTTTTTAATTCTAGCATTTTTTTTATATTATTCTAGATTTGATTTTTTTATATGTGTCCCTCAGTTTATTAATCCCCATTTCTTCAATTATTGATCTATTAACTATTTTATTGTTTAGCTTTGATAATAGAATTAATAGCATTATTCCAACTTTAATATGAAAAAACAACTTTATGTATTTTCCGCGGTTTATTTTATATAGAAAAATCTGACTGACATATTGTATATTGTAAAGTGTAAAAAAAAGTGTCGATGTAGAGAAAAGTGAGAGGCACAATCACCTTCTTCGAACATTTATTAGATCTTATCTGCGTCAGCGTTAAATAATATCCCGTCATAAGCATTTTCTCTATTTATTACCTGACAGTATCCGCAGAACCGCTTTCGCCACCGACCGTAGAGCACCTTATAGCGATGGGAGTCCTTTTTCCAATGCTGGAAAACACCTTAGCCTTGGAATACTTAGAGATATCGTGGGTAACTTCGAAATAGCCAAACGCACCTAAAAAAATCACGCATTAAATTAATGAGCAGTTATAATACAAATAGGTGTAATGTATAAGTTATATGTTTTGAACGTCGAGTTGCAAAATTTAACATACCGGCTCCCTTGGCATGCACAACTCGTTCCGGAATCCTTTCCCTGTTAAAGTGCGACATTTCATCCAAATAGACGAAGTCTTGCAGCAATATCGGTCCACGGGGCCAACCGTAAGGCTAGCCTTCTTCTCGGCAACGGGCGCTCCATTTGCGGTTAATAATACGGATGCCTCGCCCTAAAAAAATTAATTAAAAAAGTTATATAAATCGTCGACCAATTCATGTTGACAAAATAAATTTATTTTACATAGCGTGATTCTCGTAAATATCAATTAAATCAAGATTAATTTTTAGTGCGAGAATCGTAAATTTTTATTCATGTTTTGATATATAATACCATAAAAATAAAAATTAAATATTTATAAGAGATTGATCGTGTCACTTCATGTGTAAAATATTATTCTTTATATAGATTTTTTAAATATTAACATTAATTGTAACGATTTTTTATGACAGAAGGTTTAAAAGACTCTATGTTACTTGCAGACTATTAATTTTAATTATCGACGGCGTACGGATAATTAAATTATAAAACTTAATTGTTTTAGCAGTTATACAAGTTATACATAAGCAGTTATACAAGTTATACATAAGCAGTTATACAAGTTATACATAAGAGTTATACAATGTTCTATTACACAATCTGTTACACGATCCGTTATCTTCGTCTGAGTAGGAGGAGGCTTTTTCTTTTTTCTCCAAAATGCCAGGGAAAAACCACGACGTACAGGACACTCCTTGTCGCTACTCATTTCGCTAGTGAACAAACTACAAACGAGTACGCTTTTTATAAGATAAAAATCGCGATAAAATCGCAATATGATAAAAGTAATCTCTTCATAGATGTATAGAGTGCAACTGGCTCTTTCGAAATTCTATCTATCATCTATAAAAGTAGCGACCCACTTCGACGTTATATGTTACGGCAATTATCGTTCGCAACTGAAGAGTTAGTCGTATCCTCATGCATTAGTGCACTTTGCCCGCGTTGTTTTATCGAAGTTTCTTTCCTTTAAATTACAAAACTTTGCTTTCCTCAAACAAGCAATTACTGCAAACAATTAATCAAAAGTTGATAGATAACGGATTATGTACTGGAATAAGTCAATATCAAGAGCGAGATGTATATTACACAGGTATGCATCGTTCGCAAGTGTTGTGACACATCTAAATCTTTGAAAACGAGGTTTCCAATGTGCTATAAGTTACTTCACTGAAGCACATAAATTTCTCTGTTCAATAAATATTTTTGATGGCTACTTAAATGTCATTGCTATTAGAAGTTTCGTTGAAGTTCTCACACATAATGATATTTAACATGATTTATCGGAAAATAAACGTTTATAAAATATAGTATCACATTTTTCAATATTACAGTGATCAGAATTATCTTATTATCTTTTAAAGATAAGATTTAGAGATTATAAAATATTAACGATATTAATTAATATTTAATAAATAATATCATTTCTCATAGAAAATGCAACTTTGAAATTTTTAGATCTAACAATATCAATGATTATTATGTATAAATAATAATATAATATTATGTATAAATAAATATTTATATATTTATCATCTCTATTTATTCATTATTTATTAAAATTCAAAAGAATTACCATTTCAATGTTTGGAAAGTTATGATACATCAAAGACACACTGTGCGTAATGATAGATTTCTATTTCTGTGTTATTTGTTCAGCAGAGAATCACGATTATTTTGCGTCGGTATGTTAATTATTTTTTTCTTGCAAGGCACGCCTCGCTGCATCCAATAGCGCGATTTTATAACGCAAAAATACAAATAGCGCACACTGAACGTATTGTAATGTCTAAGAATTTTTTTTTATCATGACACAGCGCACACATTGTGTTTAAATTCTCGTCATCGACCTAGTACACCCGGCTTGTTGCTAGCTGTTTTAAAATGTAAATTATATGCGATTAAATGCAGTTTTCACATTGTAATTTTCTTCTGAATACGTTTTAAAGAAGTGTAATCTCGGACCGTGTGCCACAAAATATCGCGAGATAAGTGATTTAATCGATCAGTTTATTTATTTTATCTGATAGATGTGATTACAAAAATGCCACTCGTCGGAGCGATATTTAATTTATCTGTATCTATACTTCGTTACTCCACAATGACGCAGCTTTATGTATTTTTAACCTTATCTATTAAAACGCACTGTACTTTAGCGAAAACAAATCACTCTAATTTGCGTAAAATATTTTATTAACATACTTTTTCAATCATTTCCAGAAACGTAATAAAATTGTGTAATTTTTATGCTATCTAAATGATTGTGCTCTAGCCATAAAATGAAAATATCTACAATACACTGTGTTGTGATAAATCGCAGCCATATGTGCATTGCAAACACTTCAGAGATTTTATAAAAATCTTGATATCTTGGGTTCTCAAACAACTTAACTCTTTAAATGTTCCTTTGCTATGTCTAAGAATCTTGTGCATATTTTGTAGAATTTCAAAATTTATATAATTTAAATTAACATAAAAAATGTTATATAATATTTGTATAAAATTTATATAATATTTATATAATATTTATATAATATTTATATAAAAATATTATATAACAAAATTATGCCACAAAGTATTGAAATGTGCAATAAATGAGAACTGACAATAAGTTTTAATACTGTCTTTTTTCAATATATGTAAAATTAACAGTACATTCAGCTTATTTTATTGCATTTCGGAATATGAGAAATATGTTATAAAATCGTACACAATGCACGCAGTCTCTGAATATTCTTTCATGTAAATAAATGCACGTATTCATTTCCATGGTAATATTGTTCTTATCACACTGTATATGTATATATAACGTTATCTTCTAAAGTCAATATGATAAATGTAGCATAAAACTCAATATTAGCACTAATATTCCAGTACGATTCCAGTAATATTTAAAACCAATTTAATACTGTAAATATTTATATTTCGGTAACGTAAATTTTATCCTATTTTTTATTGACGGCAAAGAGATTATGGAATTAAAATAATGACGGATTCGTAGTGCAAATCAGATACATATAAAATATTTACTTTTGCATTTGTTAATATTTTATTTTATTCTTTAATATAACAAGCATATTGTTTTGCAAATTGTTTTATGCGGTAAAGAATTTGCACACATGAGACGTGCACAATATCATGATAAAAATTGATTTATAGTTTTGTTTGCAATTTCGCAAATTATAAGTGTAATCAAATAATTACGAATGTGTTCTGCTGCTCTCAGTAGCAAAGTCGTGATTTTAATGGTGATGTCATTTGTGTTTGCCTTATTGAATATTCAATGTGAGCAATTTTTTTAATATTTAAAACTATAGAATGTTCTAGTAAATTAAGTTTCGTATTGAATGTATTGAATACTTCACGTCAATTTCAATACGATACTTCAAACTCGATAAGTACATTAATAGGGATTTAATTACTAGTTTTTACAGTGTAAAATTTTTAATATCTATCGATCGAAATTTTCGAAGAATCTCTGTGGTGAAAACAAACATGTATTACGTCATCAACACAGGATATATAGATACGTATGTATAATAAATGTACATCGATCATTTTCATCTACTTTGCAACTGTCCCACTTTTTAACACTTGCGTGATGTAGCATGTAGTTGTTGCAGCCATTACGCTAGTAGTAACACAAGTAAGCAATAACAATAATATTGTTGTGGCGATTACGGACTTCTCTGATGTTCATATTTTGTTTCTATTTCTTTGCTAAAATAAAACCGCTATAGAATTCAAATTAAAAGAAAATTTTCTTTGATTTTCTTTTAAGACTATGTGCGTCTGTTTTCTATTAAAGCTGCATATAATTTTCTGAATGCAACTGATTGCGTTTTATGCGCATATCGGTAAAACCGCTTGGTATTTTATTGCGCCGTTAGTAACACACATAGATAGTGGACTTGTTAATTAATTCATTATTATTCGTTATTATATAAACCAGTTTTTTTTCTTGCTGAAAATGCATTTCATACATGGATGCATGTTACATCTGTGACTGCAAAATAGCTAAGTCATTCTCGATGGTTAATGGCTATTCTTATTAACATAAAACGACTTTATACGGTTGATACTCATATTTTTCTTCTAATTTAATAGATTGAATGTACGTATTGCTACAAAAATGTAGCTTAAAAAAGAAGAAAGTTAATCAAAAGTTAAATAAACTAAAACCTTTGTAATTAAAATTTTTCTAATAGTCAAACGTTTCTATTGTTTTTTTTGAAAATATTTAGTGATCAATTATATATGTGAGTTGCGGCGGAAATCGTGTGAGCACCACTGAAACTATGTGTGGATATATAATGTAACAAGCAATCTTACCTTGAGTTGCTTCTTCCAATCGTTCAGCTGTTCCGCAGCCGGATCCCTGAGCGGGCTGGCCATCTCGTCGGTTGTTTTCTCGCAACTGTAACTTCTAATCAGGAGTGTGTGAAACACGAAGGAAATGGATGTGGTGCGGCGGTTTCCGAGTGAAAATAAGTCTCCTGACGTTTCACAGCGGCGCAACGACTTGTAACTGGCCGGCGACGACAACGGTGAGCTTTTATCGCGTCCGTACCAAAGAACGTACGACGGGTGGGAACGCGTGTACACGACGACTTTGCATTGATGGAGGAGCGGCGGTATCGTTCGAAAGAATCTCAAGAACGAACGAACTTTCATCCTTCCACTTGATTTGCAGCGATCCTAAAACCATTTTTTATCTCAATTTTGTGATGGTATTGTTTTTATACAAAAAATTTCTTTAAAAACCAATTACTAAAGATAATTAAAAATAATTAAATAACAATGTAGATAAATATATTTTTTAAATTGCACTTTGTAACGTGTTTATTTTATTTTCCTTCGTATAATAAAATAATAATACTTACATTTTTACTTTTTTCTCGTTTTTATGTCAATTCGGTAGAAAGAAAAGAAAAAGTAAACAAACTGCAGTTAGAACGATCGACTGAATTAGTTGAGAAAATATAAATACTATAATTACAAGTTGAAATGTAGGTTAGCAAAAATGTAGATTTATATATGATAAATATAGATAATATTGATATATATCTGATGAATATATCTGATATTATATAAGATAAAATATAGTATACCTCAAAATTTCTATATGTTGACTAGCTTTACATCGAAAATGTTATTAAAAATAATAAAATTGTCTACAAATCTAAACGGACAACTTGACAGTTCACAGACAGAAACCAAGTTGTATTTCAACGAAAATAGAACTTCACTCTTACGAAACTTCATTTACTTTGATGCAGTTTGAAAATAGTTCAAGGAACTATAAATCGATCAACACATTGCTGAAACCAGTACATCTTCTAAAAATAATAAAATTTTAAGAATTTAAACTTAATACAAATTTAAAAATTGATATAGAATGAAATTCAAAACTAAAAAGATAAAATTAAAACCTTACCCCAAACAAACATAAAGATAGAGGATTGTAATATATTAATGATGTGACACACATCAATTATGAGTATCATTTTCTTTCAATTCAAAGTAATAAGATTCGGACCATCTCAGATTACCTTTACAAGCATTTTATTTCAATGAAATAATGATTGCGAGAAATTTTAGTTCCGCAACTTTGTTTATTAATGCCGTTACAACGCCACCTGATTGTGAGCCAGGTACAATTCCGAGCTCGACATTAAAAGCCAGCTCGCACGATAATGCAGTTCTCTTATCGCACGTATCTAAATTTGACGCCGTTTATATGGGATTTTACAAAAATTTCTTCAATCTGGTTATCAGTTGGCTCGATCGAGGGTCAAAAATGCAAACACACATTCTTCTTCAAAGCGACAACTCTCGTTGTAAATAATACAAATAACATCGGATCGCGTCATTGCATTTCTTTGGTAGTTTACTAAAGGTGGAGAGTTAAAGTTGCAAGAACGAAAAATAGGTCTTATATTTGTAAAATGACTCGTTCGCGAGGAAAAATTAAATAACGGATCTACGTACACGCGCTATATAAACATCATATTATTATTTACATCATTGGCGCGTCGTTTCTAACGATCCTGCGAATCGCAGGAAGCGCTACGTTTCGCCGGACACGATCTAACGATGCTTAATTAAAGAGAGAAAAGGGATAGATATATTATATATATATATTATTATTATTATCATTATATGCTCGACACGATGTACGCGAATAAAATCGATTAGGTCAGGAAAATAATATACTCTCTGACGGGAAATTAATGCATACTACATTACGCCTAGAAATGTGCCTGAGTTTGAGCACGCACCTTATTACATTCTCCGCGTACTGTATGCATAACGGCGATTGAGAGATATTCTCACGATCGACAGATACATACGCGAAGTACGAATATTTTATTGCAGCGATGTAGCAAATATCACGGCAGCTTTGAAATTCATTCCACATTATGATATCGATATCACATTATCACAATAATCGGTGGAAATAATCGTTATCTCCCACCCACTCGTAAAATATAATATTCTGAAATAAGCTCTCACCACGAAAAATCTTTTTCTCACCACGTATATTTAAATAAATAATTTACTTCATACTCGATTCGTACGTACGTAAGCGTAAAGTGAAGGACGCAGTTTAACGAGAAGCGAAAGATTAACATCGGATCTGGGAGATTCCAATCACATCGATAAAACTCATAAATTCCCTAACCGCACACAAGAATTGTCACACGGTGAACTTGTCTCCGCTGCGGAAGAATAACGAGATAACTGTGACCCGTCATTCAGAAAAAAAAAAGACTCGACATCGCCGTCTTTGCTCTACTAATACGAAAAATTGTAACAATTACCTTGAATTATTAACGTACTCTTCTACGATCATTATATAAGTAATATCTAGGTGTAGGTAGCACATTAGTTTGCAGCAACGAGGATCGCACGCTCGGATATCAATGATTCACCATCTATAATCCGATCTACGATCCGCTGGTCTATCGACGACACGTGTAATGCCGCGCTGCAGTTATTCACTTCGTCTGTAGGCTAGCCGTTTATTAGCATCGATAAAGGACATTGCACTTGCCACACGATCAGGTGACTCTGTTCACCGTGCTCTTCCGCATTGCTGACCGGAGCGTTCGATCGGTCCATACTTTCTTCCGTCTCTTCTCCATCACCTGAAAAATAATTCAGTGAATGTCATTTCCGTTCAAACAGCCATTCGAATTGAGGAAAACAGGCATAAATGGCAATTTGTACAAGTCGATGCATGACAGGTGGGAAAGCCCAACCCCCAGAGAATAAAAGAAGCAATGTATGATATACAATTGCGTAAAAAGTTAGAGTGCTAGATTCTTCTTTCGTGTACGATCTGGAACTTCGACTCTAGCACATGTGCAATAGATGCACAAGCGATCTATAGACAATTTTAATATCCCACAGTTATACATGTATGTATGAAATGTAAAATAAAATGTAAAATTGTAGAAATGCTGTTAGTCGAACTTCATTGTATCGTGCAGTATATTAGGAAATATTGTTCTGTTAGTAAAGGATGCACTGATTAATGACGTAACGTTCGTCAGGACAGGTAAAGATATATTGATCTAAATCGATTGATATATCGATTGATCAGTCTTTGCTTCTCTCTGGGGGCATACCTGACCATCTGCCACACAATTAGGTGTGTTGCCACATCACTTTCGTCTTCAGCTTCATCCGCTGAAATTACAATAACCGGTTATACAGATTCAATAAGTCTTACTCTTGTATAGCAAAAAAAAAAGACAATAAGAATTGTTACAACTGCATTTTCTCATGCAGTTTATTTAAAATACCTTGCAATGGCTGTAAAAGTTTACTTACCGACTCTGAAATCAATATAACCCTCACCACCGGAGAGAACGAGCATCGCGGGCTGTGTTCCATCCGTCACCGCGCTCTGACCACCATGGCCTAAAAAAAAGTATAGAATCAATATTGGATTTGAAGTTATCAATTTTCGAAATAAGAATTCCGCGTAATAATCGATGTGGACATTTCGATCGCATGGTTATTGATTGTTTGAAATTTACCAGGCACAGCAACGAACATCTTCACAGCATCCCTGTGTCCGTGAAAACTGAGCTGCGCATGGGCCATACTGCAGTAGGGTATGAAACTTCCCGGCGTAACACCACGATCCGACGCGAAGATCCTGACGCCGACTCCCGGCGCGTCACCTTTACTGTTACCCGTCTGCACTCTGGCTACCGCCATTGAACCGCTCGCATCTGCAGCATCGCGTTGTCATTCGAGTCCTCGCGAGCGTTAAAATCGAGATACTTTGTTCTTTCAACTTACTCTCTGACAGCGGCACCGAGATTATCACCCCGTTACCGGTGCCGATCCAGAGTCTATTCGAGGAAATAAGTAGAGCTGTAATGCGCACGAAGGAAAATCCAAGTTTCCCCGTGCCAAGCATCTTGCTGACATACGGCTCTATATCGACGTCTTGGAGATGTTGGTAAGTGTGAGCGTGGTACAGCCTTAACGTTGAATCGAGCCTGATGCTGACCCACACACCGTCGCCTAGCCATGCCAATTGCCGCACTTGAGACTCCCTGCGAGGATGTGCGTCCACTGTACACTGTAAAAAAATCAAATTTTACAATTTTATCGGTTTATTATATCTTTATTTTTTTCATATTATTCTTTTGTCTTAATATGTTAATCATTATTTAAATTCTATACCTCAAGTGTCATTGAAATGGGATCAATCACGTGAATCTTGTTTCTGTATCCACACCACACGGTTTTTCCGCTGACTGCAGTCATGCATCTGATGGAATGTTGAGGACTGCCAAGCGTAATCACATGATATTGAGACAGATCCCACTGTCCGTCCGTTCCTCTGCGGAATATCGTTACAGTTCCGTCCGCTAAAGCGACCAAGACGCGGCCTTGCACATGTCTAATCAAAAAAAGAGATTATTATTAATTCATCAGCTGATGCTCAGATTAAAACCATAGCGTGCAAAGTAATTTAAACGTTAAAATTAAGTAAGCTAATCGATCAACCAGAGAATTTTCGAAAATTAAATTGAAGACAATACACACTCGACTGCAATTAAAAGAATAGAATTTAAAATAATTGAAAACCCTTCGATTTAATATTGTCAAAAATGTTTAATTGTAATTGATCGATTTGCTTAAATTGCACCGTTAAATTTTCTTTTGCACCATGATTCTTACTATTCAAAAGATCACGTACACAATTGCTAATGCTGCATCCCTTAGCTTCACAGAATGCAAGCACACTGACCACTTGGCAACGGCTGAATGAACGAAAACTGCACCATTTTGAGCCCCAAGCCACATAGTTGGTTGTACAGATGACATCTTCTCGATGGGTGTCTCTTCCACTTCCTCCTTCGCTTCTTCGTTCACGGTATCCTTGTCATTCAATCGCGAAGGATAAGCTTCGGCACCGCACCGTATGAAGTGTACTTTTCCCAAATTCGCGGTTTCGCTGTCCACACTTTCCAGACTCTGAGGTTCATTCTGATCCGTCTCGGCAGCCTTCTCAGTATTCTCATTTGTCTGATCCTCTGACTGATTGTCAGATTCATTCTTATTTTTCTCAACGGCGGCTTCAGCGTCTTGATTCTTTTCGCTATTCTGCTCGGCGCTTTCGTTCGCGTTCGTGACATCCTCGCAGGCGCCGTTATTGTTCTCGCTGTCGTTCGCCGTGCCGTTCGCCGAGTTGCGGATCGAGTTCTCGTTCGACGATTGCGCGTAATCGCTCTCTTTCGCACCGGGCACGCTCGCGATGCACAGCAAGTGTCCCTGACAAACGTTGAACACCTCCAGAATGTCCGCCGGATTGTTCGCATCTATCACAGTAACCTTGGACATCTTCTGCGTCGAGGTGCAGATCCAGACGAGCGAGCTGAGCTGCTGCTCCCACCGTTCTGCCTCGAGCCGTCGGTTCTCGTTCTCCTGGAGCTCCTTGTCCAGATGCTCGACGGCGTCTTCGGCCTCTGCCTTCGCGTTATTGCTCGTCTCCTGAGCTTCGGCAGCGTAAAACACACTTCCGCCGACCATGCATCCGCCGTCGCGCGTTTTACCGCCGCTCAGATTTACACCAGCGCCGCACCATATCTGAGAAAAACAACATTTCGCTTATCTCAATTTCTTCTTATCTCGGAAAAAAAAAAAAAAAAAATGCAATACGTACCTTCATGCCCGGCTCGGTTTCTTGCAAAGGTCGACAGTACACCGGGACTGGGACGGGAGGTTGCCTGACGGGAGCGCTTGGTTTTCCCGGTAAACTCCAGCCATAAGCTTGCAGACGACCATCCTCCTTCTTCACGTGTGCTCGCACCTGACGATACTGCTCTCTCCGCTCGCTTGCGCGTCTTGCTACGAGTTTTTCGGATGATCTGCAAAGATGACACAAATGGTACATTAATTATCGCTCGTGAGCTTTGAACGAGAAGGGGCAAGATTGTTGGAAACTATCTTTTCCAAGTTAGTAAACAGCAAACTGTAATTGTTGACTGTTTGTCCGATCATCCATTTCACCACACATATCCTTCGATCATTTGGTTCCATCTTCATTAATTTACAGCCGACCAATTAACAAACCAAATTCTCACGAATTTGTTAACACACAGGGTACGGATAGGGTGTAGATATATCTATAGGCTATCGTACTTCTTAGAGTCTGTTGAAGCGAACAAGTTAGAAGTAGAGCGGAACAGATTTACCTGCTGACCAATAAGCACCCCACCCGAAGCCAGAAAAACCAGGTATCTCTTGACAACGCCACGAGGGAGAGGCAAGGACGTAATCCGAACAACAAAAAGACCAAAAGCGCAGTAACAAGAGTGAAATAAAGACCAAGTTTATAACGTAATCAAAACTTCATTTATTTCTTTCGATCAATAATGATCGTATATTATTATTTTTCCAAAAATTGTACAAATTCGTATTTACAAAATGATGTCTTTCTCTTCGAACATTATTGAAAAATTGATGATCTATCTAGTGACTTAATTAGTGCAATTCTTGCACCCTTATGAACGATGTATACATCATCATTGTATAATACACAAATCATGCTAAAACTTGATATTTAACGGATCTTCGGGAGTGAGAAACGTCAAAGTAAAAATAGAGATATGACAACCGAAATAAAATAAAATTAAAAAAAAAAAAATTTTTTACATATACCAAAACAATACATTACTTTGAGATGATACGACTAAAGCCAAATTTTGTTCTTTAGGTACTTGTTAAAATCAAATAAATCGTAAAATGAGCAAAGACTGGTTAATAAATACATTGCATTAATGCACGCAAACCCTTCATCAATCAATAAGCTAAATAATTCAGAAAGGACTCACATCTCTTTAGTGCAATTGAGACTAATACCGTGAATCATGACATAGATTACGGATCCCAACTGACCAAAGAGGGTTCTAATCTGCAAAGATGAGCAATTCACAAAGTTATACTAAACTGTTTGCATAATTTACCCCATGTGGACTATAAAAACGTATTACCTTTATCGTATGTTCTTCACTTAAATTTCGATGATAAAAGTATCAGAGTAAAATTATTCAATCGTGACTTGCATACAAAATTGTGCATTTTCGAGAGACGTTTACCTTACGAAATAGTGAACACAGATTCATCAAATATATTAACAATCGAACATTAGGTATTCCTTTGTAAAAACGTATTAATATATATATATATAATGTTGTGAAGCATGATCTTTAGTTGTTGAAATGGATGAAATAATTAAAAGAAGAAAGCGTAAAATGATAAAGAAAAAACAGAAGTTCGATCTAATTGATAAATTAAAAATATGCAGGTCTCGATGTGTAAAGTCGATGTAATATATATGTATATATATATATATCTACGTGCATGTAGTAAAATTTGATTGATTTCTCACATGGTGTCTCCTTGGTCGAGAAAGTCTTGGCGACTTTTCAACGTACGTCTACGCATGGCATCCAAGGGCGGCGCTGGAACGACCTGATTCGATGGTGCGCTGTACCGCACATGCGGTAGCGTGTGCGCGGAACGCACTAATGTCCCCCGATCAGCCGGGCCTGTGAAGAGATTGCTAAAACTGGAAACGAACGAATTAATCTTCTTTCTTTTCACTTCCTTTTATTTTTATTCAATGGATATATCGACAGATACGTACAACTTCCACACCGAACCTTTGCCACCCGAGATACTGGAAGGATCGGTCTTGCTGGCTCTAATCATTTCCGTCCACCTCACCGCCTCTTGAAGTTCCATAAACCGTTCCTTGTATTGATTTCGCTCCATGAGCACCCTCGCCATCTCCACTCGCGTGAATCGCTTCCTCTGAGACAGAGGCACGTCTTCTTCATCGTCACTCTTTGTCGCTTTAGCTGCCGCTTCCGCCTCTTCCTTAACTTTCTTCAATTCTTCCTCGAGAGCGGCGACTCGTTGCCGCAATCGTTCCCGCGCTTGCTGTAAGCCTCGAACTTCTTCACGTAATATTTCTTGCTCACTGAAATATTAATTAAATATTAGTTAAACATAAGTTAAATATCAAATATTTATCAGTGTTGCAAAAAAAAAGAATTTAATCATGACTTACCTAGTTAATTCATCCACTTTAACAATTAAATCATCCTTGACAACGTTAAGCGCATTCCTAAAAAAACGAAAATATTTAATGCTAACCATTATTGTATTAAATATATTATTGTATTAAATGAAGAACTTACTTTGTTGCTAGCAATTCATTATTCTCCATAATGAGATTTTCTACTTCTTTTCCCATACCTATAAAAAATAGATAAATGTGTTAAAATACCGACAAACCAGTAAAAATTCAAAATATATCGAATATAATTTAAAATTTTAATATCATATGCATAAGCAAAGAATTAAAAGAAACGCTTTGCAATAGATAATACATATCTATTTTAATTGCAAATTTTATTGATAACTGATTATTATATAAAAAGTATATTTAGCAATAACAATTTTATCAATAGATATAAATATGATGATAATTATTGGAAAAAATGTTTATCATATAAAAAAAGAATATTATTAATGGTATATGTCTTACCAAAGAAGTTGTCATTGACTGCATGGTAAGTTAGTGTTATACGATGCGTTGGAAGTATACGAGCCACGAGCCATTATAGAACGCGGAAGCAAACAATGAAACACAAATATAAATGATTAGAAAATTGTTAATTTGGAGAATGGATGAATAAACGAATATATTTACAAAGATCGTGATTATATGCGTGTCATAAATATATATATAAACACACCTGAGGAGGCATATTCTCCAGGATGTACTAAGCTTCCTAAAATTTCGAGCATATCGATTTAGTTTTGTAAGCAAAAAACACTTTAAAATAATATCTCTGCAATACGAATATATAATACCTGTAATATCTGCGCCCTCGTCCATTTCGCCAAGAGCATCAGCATCTTGGAAACTTAATTCTTGATACAATGTATTGCCACTTCGTTGCTCTCTTTCAGTTCTACTTCTACCTCCCGGAGTAGTAGCCAACTTCTCTATGCTTGCGGTCGGTGTGGTTGGCGTTATTAAAGTTGGCGGTACCTCCGTTTCTGGACTTTCATCTGCACAGAAATATTTTCTTAATTAAAACTTTGTGTTGCAAATCGGAGAGATTTACAAATCAGGTACAACGTACGCCTAGATATAGCTGTAGTCTTGTTCTCTTGTACTGGTTGATCAGTCAATTGGCTTTTATCAGATGTTTCAATAGCAGCTTCGCTACTACTGTCCAACATCTCGGTTCTTAAGTTAGCAGTATTTGGTACGATATCTTCGTGAACATCTTCGGCGTTTATACTAGCTTCCAGACTCTGAAAACCGTAGCTCAGCGGCCCGGAGCTGCGCGACATATGAGCAAGTCCAAGAGAAGGTAAGCGTGATGGCGCGCGGCTTGCAGATACACTTTCCAATCTTTCTGTGCTACCAACCAGCATTTTGGTCCTTTCCATATAATCGACATGGGTCTTAAATAACTCTGTATATCTGTCATGTAACCGGGAATACTCGCGTTTCAATTCAGCTTCTTTCTCTTCAAGCCGACCAACTAAAGAGAAATATAAATATTTAATATAATAAAATTCACAATTTATGAATCAAAATAGTTAGCTTTTCACAATAAAACATATAATAGATAACTTCGATAAGCATGAGATTTTTAATTAAAAAAAAAATAACATGATGAGATAGCAAGCATTTATCGTCAAAAAGAGAAAAGTAAATAAATATTTATAATAAAGCAACAGATAACAAATAATACCTTAAACAAGCACATAAAATTATGAAATGTAAAAGTAATGATAAATGTTATAACGTAATGAATAAAAAAAAGATGATAAATAGTATACCAATAAACTTGCACCCTGTTTTTCACACATTTCTCTTAACCACATACGCAGACCACATACAAAAATGTGTACATATAAAAATATGTATAACACAAGATTAAAAAAAATAAAATCTTCTACTCTACTGTAGAGGGAAGAACTGTGAATGGGTAGACTGGAAGTGCCAATGGCGATTGTACCGTGATCGTGTGAATTTTTGGTCTTCAGTTCCAGCATTCTCACTATAGATTCCAAGCTATCAATTTTCGACAGAAGCTCCTTTCTTTCGTCTTCCGAAACATCTTCCAGTTCGAGGAGTTTCTGATATAAATAAATATATATTACATTATGACATAATCACATTATTATTTCAATTATTAGTATAAATTTATAGATCCAAGGCAACTTATTAAAAAAAAAAGTAACAATCACCTGATCCGAAGCTTTTCTCAATTGTTTCTCCCTTTCATACTGAGTGACAAGTTGTTCATTGTCTTCTCTTAACAGCTCTAGTTCCACTTCACGTTCTTGATTCTCAGTATAGGATATATCCAGACATTCTAATACATTGACTAGCAGAGGCATTAAGTCTTTCACTACATCCTCATCATATCTCGCTATCATCTTCTCAAACTCTTGATAGATGCTGCCTGCCAGAGACTGCACTTTCTCTGACATGACAACATGACTATCCTCATGTGTGCCGTAGACCGTTTCTTGATCCATTTTGACCAGTGTTTTATGTATATATATCTATATACCTATAAAAATAACACAAAGAAACATAGTATTATATAGTATCATAACAACATATTAATATGAAAAACTAAAGATGCAATATCATCACTTATTGGCTCAGTTCCAAACTGTGAATTGTCAAGGTTCAAAATATATCAATATACGTTTGTATATTGATTCACTGCTGATATGTTAGAACAGCTAAATTGTTTAAATATATTCCAAACTGATACACATAGAAAATAATTTAAATGCTCCAAAAAATTTACAATATTGAACCAACAGAAACAAAAAGAAATAAAGTATAATAATAATTGTTTACACTACTCAACTCTTTGGACTCGATATAATTACGTTGCACTCTTCACAGCCAGTTAAATGAATCCCAATCAACGAGACGGCGACGTTAAAGAGCGTCGAGGAGCGCGCATATCCGAGGCTGAATCGACAATCCGACCAATTCATTAGTCGGAGCACCGTCTATTCGCCAGATCTGCCAAACGCAACTCGATGATAATCCACCTTGATCAACGTTCATCGACGAACTGAACGTCAGACGCATAACTGCTTATAACCTCGAGCGTGCGACCGTTCAAGGTTCACGCGGGGTACACGAAGTGACCTCGTACTTGCAAACGATGATTTATCGATGTTTCATCGTATTATCCATGTATTATCGTTTTCTCTATTATACGTCACTTATCAAGGATGCACTATCGCCTTGTATCACTCGCGAAATGTTGTACAAACGGACGGACACACGATCGTCAACGATCGCCACGAGTTACGATTTGCGCGCGTGACGTTTCGCAACCACCGAACCACTGCCGCGCGAGAACACTCTTTTTTTGGTCCTTTCTGAACATTCAGAGTGACAGTCGCGCGACGTTCCGTCGCGACACGACAGACGGTACGAAATATCTCTCGTTGCTTTATTTCTCTCTGTTTTTCCTTCACCGTTTAGTCTCTCCACTTCGATTCCGAGCGCGGCTGTCAATCAGCAACGACGACGCGACCACCCTCACACCGCGCGAATCCTCGCCATTTTTCGTCAACCAGCGACCTGTCGTCCCCCCCGAACCCGATTTGTGCGACGTGTTCGGAAATAGATCCGCGACATCTCCGTTTGCGATGATGTTGCCTTTTGCCTATTCTCGGTTCACTTCCGTTAGGTGGCCGCGGCGTCATACGACGCTTGTACAACGCTGTTGTACGACGCTGCTATCGCGCTCGCACGCGTTGGACAACGGCTGATAGCCCCTGACAGCGCGTTATCATTGACCAACGCGAATGTGCCTGACGCGACCACGATCGTTTCCGGTCACGCCGACGCATTTCGGGAACTACATCTGATTAAAAATTTGTTCCTTTTGGGGGGGGGGGGCATGGCTTTTACACTAATGAACAAATCGAAAGAAAGCAACCGTGTTTGCCGCCTAATCTAATATTCAACACACGCTTTAAAAACACCGATGCACACATTATGTTTATTTTTGTAATTACATTTCTTTTTCATATGCTAGTTATAATTTATTTGTGTAATCACATTCACAGTATATCAGGATAATAAGAAATTATTTTTTAAAGATAAATACCTACCTTTTTCTATGTCACAAATCATAATTTTCATCGTATAATATCGAACGTAAGTTTACACTAAAATTACATTTAAATATAATGTAAATAGTAGTAATAAATATATAATATCATGGGATAATGCTACAAATGCAACCATTAATTAAAAGCGTCCGTAAAACTCGCCTCCGCTCTGCCTCAGCTTCTATCACATATCCTCTATTGTAGCCTTTGCTGCGATAATCACCGAAATTACTATTACCACTGCTATAATTACCGCTGTTCGTGGTCCACGACAACCGTCATTTGTACGCAATAATTTTCGGAGATGGATTATTGGCGAAAAAACCGATTAAGTGATCTCTCGGTGGACGACGCGATTGAAAAATGCCGCCAGTTATCTGCTCCGGTTCATAACGACAAGCATTCATGGCGCATGACTTCATGTTCAAAACTTGATGGAAAAGAGAACACATTGTTTTTTTACCAGTGCTTATTATCAAAAGATAACTAGATATTATACGTATCATTATGTGTATTATTATTAATAAAAAAATTAATTTTTTATTACATTTTTATGTGCGATGATTATCCAATTCAATTTACAGTTTAAAAAAATTAGTTAAAATTACTTACATCACAAAGATTCAGCGAAAAAAGAAAAACAGGTGAGGCAAAAAGTACTCTTCTGTTGTGTTTCAGCATAAACAATTTAATCAATTGAATTGACTATTAATATTCAATTCACTTAATATATTAGCTGCGTACAAGAATTGCGTTGAACTAATCCTATTCAGTGAAAGAAAAATCTTATGAAAAAGTAACGTGCTTTTCTTAATCTAATAAATAATTTTACTTTTTAACTTAAATTAATCTCGACTATACTACATTGAAAGTAATTTAATAGATTTTATACTATTATATTATTAAGTATGCGATAATTTTTAATTACATTCTTATGTACGATGAGTATTTAATTCAATTTATAGTTTGAAACTTTAAAAAATTAGTAGTTCAATAGATTTTGTACTCCAACTTTACTGAGTAGTTATGTATACGACCCTTGTTACTGCTATACAACATTTGATAAAAATGTCTGAAAAACAAATTTTTAACACAATTAGAACTTGATTCAAATCAAATCACTTCTAAAATTGTTCTTACAAGCAAGAACATTTTGTTATACAATTAAAATTTGTGGTATTCACTTCCACTTTCTTCTCCCCTACCCACTGTTCCATGTTCTGCAACATCTCCTCTATATTTCCATTAACGTATACACCACCACCCTCCGTTTCTAAGTCAATTAAAATTTATTATTTCGTAGATTTTATATAAAATTTATTGTCCGTTTTTTTCTTTAAAAAATAAAAGGTAAATTATTCGTAGTTGGCACTAATTTTGGAGTTTTCGTTATTCTGGGACTGTGCGGGGCTTTGCGCGCAGAACTACTGGTAGGCGTTGTAGCAGCAGAGAGATTTTTCCTCAACGGCTTCATGGGCGTTCGTACTATTGGCGTTTTGTTGATATTGAGTTTATTGCTGGTCTTCAATATTTGGTCCGGCAGCATTGAACTGTGTAATTCTTCTCTCTCTGTCATATGGCCTTGGAATTTGCTGTATGTTGTATCCACCACACTATTATTGGGTGACAACGATTCCTTTCTTTTTTGTCCACCTTTTGAAGATCTACTCGGTTTTGTTATAAGAATTTTTGGAAGTCTTCCACTTCTTCTAATCTTGGATGCAACAACAGTGGGCTTGGTTCTGTCGCCATTTCTGTTTCTCTTTGACGATGTATTGGGAGACGGAGTGAACAATTTACGCTTCGATAAACCTAGTGGAGTTCTAACAATACTGAGGTGAGACATACCTGGTTTGGAACTGTTCAAAGGTGATTTCTTAACAGATTTATCCTTTGCCTCTTTCCTCGCCTTTTTGATCGTTTCCTTCTCGTGATGGATATTTTCCCAAGATTCTGCTAAGACATTTTCCAAAGATGTACCATGAATGGTAAACATCTGGTTGTGCACAGTTTCATATTCATTTATCAATTGCCTCAATTCTTCTTCAATTTTGGGCAATTTCTTTTGTATCGTCTTACGTTCCCTCTCTTCCATTAATAACTGGCCTCCGCGATTGTGATAGCGATCAGGATTATTTGCACGTTGAAGTAATTCTTTTATCTTAATTATAACATTTTCGCGCTGTTCCAGAAGGTCAAATATTGTTCGATTATCATTGTAAAATTTGCGTAGCTTTTCCACTTCTAACTCATGTAACATTAGCAGATCCTCGGTGAATGTATTGGAATGAAATGGTGCAAATGCATTTCTTTCTGCTTCACAGTATTTGCATAAATCCCACAAATTCATCAATTCATACCTGAGCTGAGTAACGTATCTGAAAATATTCTCCTTTCTTTTCTCTTTCAACCGTTTTATTTCCGCATTGAAAGCATTTATTGTACTCGTGCTGTAACCAGGGTGTCTTTCAAGAAAGGAGTGATAAACATCGACAGGTTCATCAAGATATTTCCACAATGCCGATAAATCTTCTTTCATTTTCTCAACACGGCACTTTGTTTCTTCCACTTGTGTTTTTAACTCGTCTCTAAACTCTTTCAATTTTGCCATATTGTTTTTATTAAGCACAAACTCCTCAGGATTATCGCAAACCAATTGTTCAAATGACGAAGAAGGAGCTATATCCAAATCATCCATCATTTCAATTATAGAATGACGTATTTCCGTAAAAACATTTTCTAAACGTATTTTTTCGTTCTCTTGTTTCTGTAGATACAACTTGAAACTCTCGAGTTCCTGCTCAGTAGGTACAACATCTGTACTGATGTTAAACTTTTTGATACCGAGTTTCTCACAAATGACATGTTCCTTTGTCAGCAATTCCTTTATTAACATCATACGTTCTTTTTTTATGCCTTCCAAGATTTGTAGATTTGCTTGAAGTACTTGTTCCACTTCGTTCAATGGCATCTGGTCGTAGGTCTTCTTGGACACTATATCCAGGTTCGGATTTTGCTCACTTGTAAAGTTTAATTCTGCATTTAATTTTGCGTTCTGTTTTAATAATTCCTGTACGTTGTTTAACAACTGTTCCTTCTTAGAATGTGATTCAGCTATCATGTCATACAGCAATTCCTTTATATGATTCTGTACTTGCTTATAATATATTAATTGCGTCTCATTAGAGCATCCTATATCTTCCCAGTCTTTCTGCAACGTATTGAGTGTCTTCTTAACTGCCTCATTAATTGTTTTTTCAACTGGCTTCCATTTGGGATAATCAATCATTCCTCCAATGCTTGTATCTTCTTTGAAAAATAATAACATAATTAAAATAAAAAACACAAGTTAAAATTATATATAGCTGCTTTGAAATGCATGTCATCGAATAAATACCTTGCTTTTTCCAATCCTCTATGGTCTTTAACAACAACAGCTTCTTTGATTGTGCTTCAGTCACAATGTCATCTAACTGTTCCTTTATACAATTCTGTACCTGCTCATAGTAAATTAGTCGCGTCTCCTTGGAACATTCTGCGTTTTGCAAGATCTTTTCCAACTTGGTGAGTGTTTCCTTACAGTCCTCGTTCAATACTTTTTCCACTGGCTTCCATTCCGGTTGGTCAGTCATCGTTTCGACGTCTTTATTTTCCTTGAAAAAGAACAATATTGTTAGTTCAAACTATATATAAATGCGTCCTGACACGCGTATCATCGAATACATACCTTGATTCTTGCAAAATATGAATCTATTGCACAAAAGAAACCTATATAAATCTATATTTGTTTCTATCACACGCGATACAAGAAATACCGTTGTATGTCGTTACTCGTTTGAATTTCTTCCCTTCTCTCCTTGCTGGCAACCGGATAGGTGCTGCCCCTTCCATACGACCACGTTTGTTTGAAGTAGTGAGCTATACAACCATAAGGACCAATGTACAATTCGCGGCCCAAGGATAACAATAGTAGGCAGGGACTTCTGTCCTCTTTCCGCATTTACTACCATGTATGGTGGGGATATTAAAAATGAAACAGATATGAGACAGACATCCCCGTCCAATATAGCTCTCTCTATTCCACGGTGGACCACCCCCTACTTCTTCAAGCTCACTCCAGTATGTTATTTAGCTAACTGGTTTGAATTTAAATAGTTTATGCGCGACTCGAGTGGCGTCGTTGGCAGAAGTCACAAATTATAGAGTATATAAAGATAAGCCTCTCACACAACAAACGTAGGTGCGTAGAAAGAATGTGTGTAAGGAAATTGACCAATCATATATCTGATATAAATTTTCATTAGATGTATGATTGGTCAATTTTTTTATAAATATGCATTTATGCAGGTCGGTTTAAATATATCTTTAGGCCCACAATCGGTTTATTTTCAATAGTTTAAACAACTTCGTGACTTTTGTACAGACCAATCGTCGCAGAACTGCATCGTCGAGGATTTGTGATTGGACGGACGAGGCATGTATTGGATGTATTTGCCGGCCGCACGGAAAGTATGTATATATGGCGCCTACAGGTGCCGCGATAAAGGTTTTATCGGAATTTGTGACGCGGCGGTGACGGGATAGAAGAGCGAGGGCGAGAGGGAGAGAGGATCCAACGGTCTTGAACGTCAAGGTAACCGTGTGCTCCCATGGCGAAATAATATACGTGTGATATACGCCTAGCCGGCGGTGCGACGAGTACGAAGCGTGCACGGAACTGTCATGCGGTTGCACGGGCTTCCTCGTCTCTCACAAAATTCTCGCGTTCGCGTTATTATCGATTACATTCCCGTGTGTGTATACCTCCCCGTTGCTACGTTTAATCGTAGCGAGTCCTAACGTACCACGTGATCGCGGTTTACAAACGGCCGTTGTGACAAACTATTGAGAACGCGATAGCACTGTGCGCGGTGCGGTGTATGTACGCTGTGTTCACAGGATTTTCGTATAGAAAAAAAGAGGGATAAAGTGCCGTACAACTTCGTCAAGACGCTCCTGGTAAGAATTTTCATTGTAGAGTCATTGATCGAAAATCGTATCATCACTTTGTGCTGTAAACCTTTAAAATATGGCGCCATAAATTATATAGTGAATTGTGTGTACAATTTTTGTTTTCGAAGAAATGTCATATCTCGATTATGCAATTGTGGTCATCATAAAGAGAATTATCCAAAATTAGAAGAAGATTGTTTACCTGCAATGGTATAATAGTTAAGTTTACTTTTTTTCGACAAACGTATATAAACATTTTAAGTTTGTATAATTGTAAATGGTGAGGAATATTTATAAGTTTTACAACAATCGTTCGTGAATCTCAAACTTTGATTGCAACGATTAAAACTGAATAACATTGTAAAAATAATAATTTGGTTAAAGTGTTTTGTATAAAAATGTTAACTATTGAAGAATATCTTAATATTAAAGTCAACTGTAATTTTTGTCTTTTATTATAATTATATATGGATTTATAAGTCAGATGTCTTATAGGATGCTGTCTACATGATTTAAAAATGAAAATATGAAGAGCAGTGGTCAGAAAGAAGAATCTGGTGATAAAAAGAAATATGTCTTCTTCTCAGATCCAGATGTTATTGCTAAACGCGCAGAAACTTCTGCTATTGTAAGTAATATTTATTTTTTGCTCTTTTGTTTCAATCTCTCTGTATAATCTTTATAATTTTTTTTATTACAGGCAGCACAGATTACAAGAGATGCACAATGGCAAACTTCTGATAAACAATCAGATAATCAACAAGTTCCCACACTCGGCAGAAAGAATTTAGAAAATTTGCTATCGTATCATCCTGTACAACCATATCCCTTTACATTTATTAGCGCAGTGAAACAAAAGCTCGCCTTAGGCGACCGCACTGATATTAACACAAAAAAATATAATCCAAGTTCTCAGTCTAAGAGCAGTTTGACTTCTTCAGTATTAAAAACAAATAGTACACAGAATTTGTATCAAATTGTACAAAAAATGGATTTCATTAGACCATTGAAAGTTCCAGATCTAAAAATTTCTCCAAAAACACTTGATTTCTCTAGTAGAGAAAATTCTGTCTCAAAGGAATTGTCTTCAAAGTCTGAAATAGCTGCAAAAGAATTTGCACACGATAAATCTGACAAAACATTAAGACTTGACAGGGTGCAGAGAAAATTAGATTTCTCATCAGATGGATCGTCAATTATTAATTCCGAAAGCATAGAGCCGTTGAAAGCGCCGAATGTGTCCATAGCATCTAATTTAAGTAAAAAGAAGGAGCATGTCAGAGACAGTTCTAGGGAAAAAGAAAACAGATCTAAAAGACTGAAAAAGGATGATTCTTCATGTACGAAAAGGGATGAATTTGCACAAGATCAAGTGAAACGCAGTCGAAGTCCGAGACGTATCTCCAGAAAAGATGCAATTGATATGAGCAACATAAGATTATCTTTACCAAAGAATGATAGACCATTTCATACTGCAAAAAATAACGATTATCCGTCAACAAAATCAAAGGATAAGAATTTTGTTATGTCTAGTGTTAAAAAGGATAATGACAAAAGACAGAGATCCTTCAATGTACAATCTGTGGAATTAACGAGAGAGAATCTAGAATCTAAGTGTCGGATGTCGAGCAACGAACCGCCGGTCTTTCCATCTTGGAAAGTACCGGATAAAGTCACATTAAGGGACAACAATATTGGCATTCTATCTAATACTGCAGAAAATAAATCTAAAGACGTTTGCCACTCGAAGCAAAGGCCTGACATAGAAGACTCTAAACATAAGTCTGATTCAGATAATAGACAATTAAAGCAAGACAAATCAAACACTATTCATAAGGAGCAAGCAAAGAGAGTGTCCGATAAAAATAAAACTTCGAATAACAAGATCGAAGGGACGTTGCACAGCATCGATTCGGAGCTATCTGAAAACATTGGAACCGTATCTGAAACAAACAGTTCCAAGAATCGTGTAAATGTTTATCCTGCGGGTTCTGCTCAGTCATCCAAGAGTAAAGATTCCGAAACGACTGCGGAAAGTAAGCAGAGCACCAATTCTGCCCGCTCAGCCAAAACTCTAGAGAGTTTCAAATGTAAAGAACATTCTGCGGCGCAGTCTGCAGGCACAAGCACTAAAAATGATGAAGAGTCATATTTACAGAGCACCATCACGACTAAAGAATCGAATACTAACGATGATTCGAACGATGTAGATATCAGCACACTGCCAGATACATTATTCGACCCTAGAAGAATCTCTTTCAGGGACGGATACGCCCCGCAAGACTTCCACAATTTAACCACGCCGGAAAAGATGAATCTTATGGTCAGGTCTAAACGAAGAAAATGGATACAAAACAGTGATTCGGAAGCGGATGCAAGATGTCCAAAGCATAAGCCGATAATAAAATCCGAGCAAGAACAAAGCGAGATACAATTGGTGAGTACAAATGCATTTTTACATATTTATCCGGCTACGATAATGTCCTTTGTAAAATAAAAGTGCATTGAAATTTCAGATGCATCCAACAGCTTTGCATATGCAATTTCAGGCAGAACTGCACCTCTATGATTCTTACAATGAGTCTCTCAGGCAGATCATGGATGTCGAGAAGTGTTTGTATAATACTAACCGCGAACAGGAACAAAAGAATTTACAAAAAGTTAACGAGAAAGATGAGGAATTGGGAAAGATTGTGCAAACTGGAGAAGACCGTGCAGCCGCTGCAGTCGATAACGATGCTGTTGGAAAAAGTAAGGAGACTATTAATGCAATTATTTATCTGAAAATATAACAATGTTGTGACATAAACGTGGCAGAGGGATAGATATATACAAACGTGTAACTAAGTATTAAAAATATTTTTTGCAGCAGTTTGGAATCCACTTGATTATACGAAGAAAGATATCGCCGAGACCTGGAGATCGAGCGACGAAGCGCATTTTAACAGAGAACATTACACTTCCACGAACCAGGGCAACACTGACGAGTCGGGTATTAACTATGGAAAATTCAGTAAAGCGGTGGTCAAAGTAGCGGAAGTACAGACTCAAACGGTAAATGATATGGCGACACAAACGGATATATCCGCGAAGAAACGGGACACGCAAAAGCAATTGTTGGAAGTCCACACGGAGGCTGCATGTGAACGATCATTATCGAGGGAAACCGAAGTTCCTCAGCTGTCTTTAGATTCGGCTGAGCAACACGAAGACTTGGACCAAATTGAAAAGATGTCACTGCCCAACAAAATAAGGACCATGTCTGAAATTAGCTTACACGAAACTACCTCGTCGATAAAAACGGAAACCGGGACTGAAATTAGTATTTCAACTCGGGATGTAACATGCTCGTTTAATCAGTACTTAGACCTCGAAGTAATTATATTTTATTATAATACGCTGCGTACATTTGTGTACATTAACTGGATTATTAAACTCTGCTTTCTTTTTCAGATAGCGCAGCTCATAAGAGATGAAAATCAGCGATGCAATAAAATTGAAGAATTGTTCAAATCTCGAGAGAAAACGTTGAACGACAAGACTAAGAAGTTGATGCAATTGGAAGAACAGAAACGCGTTTTAAAAGACACCGGACAAGATAGCCGTTCCGTAAAAAAGAAACAGAGAGCTCTAATTCTAAAGTTGCAGCAAGAGAAGGACGAAATTAGCAGGTGAGTAATATTTATGCAATTGTATATCGTGTAATCTTCCACTTTTGTACTAAAATGTACCGTTTGTTAACAGGTTAAAATATTTGTACGTAATTACAAGCCAGGAACGTAAGCTTATGCTGCAGAAGCAGAGAAACATGTTTAATCCGCAAATATCGACGAAGAATATTTTAACAAAATTGAAGAGGAGCGCCGACAGTCAATCGCCGAGAAGATTATCGGGTCCTATGAAGGGTTACGATATACGTAGCAATAGCTCCATGAGCTCCTTGATCGATTCGGATAAATCTCAGCACGATCAGTCTCAAGTAGACCCACGCTTGCAAACACCGAAAAGTTTCAGATCTATATTCTTGAATTCGACTAAAGAATGCAATACGTCCGCAACAAAATTTGATGACCCGGCTGAGAGTAAGAAATTGGAAAAGAATCCTGCAAAGTCACAAAAGAAAGGCGATATGTCGAAATATGAGCTAAGATCTCGAAAGTACGATGAAAAAATGCCCAGAGCGGATATTTTGCGGAATAAACAAAATCAGCTCGACATGGAATCCAAGCGAATTCAAGGCCATCCTATGAAAATAAAACGACTTTTGGAAAATCAGGAAGTGATCGGAGTACCGCAATCGTCGAAATTGGAATTGAATGTGTCGTTACCTGACTATGTAAAATCCGAGTCCGATACGTTAGTGGAAGAATTATCCAAAAGGTCGAGGACAGTGTCACAGGTAGCGGATCCCTCTGTACAAACCGCTACTATCTTGACAGAAAAAGATTCAACGTCCAACATTGTAACTGCTAACAGTGAATCGATAGAGGAAGAGATAAACACGATAATTCAAGATACCATCTCCAAAACAACAAAATCGTCGCAAGTCTCCGAAAGTATGTTGCAGACAAATTCAAGCAAGAGCTCCAAGAAGATTGATAAATCGGTTACGAGTGATAAGGACGTATCGAAAAAGCTACAATACAGCACCGAGTTGAAAACAAGCTCCAAGCGCAAAAGCTCCAAGTACCAGAAAACAAAATCGTCTTCTAACACATTAACGGAAAATATATTGCAATCCAAATCAAGTTCTCATATATCGGAGGAGCTTATAAAGCATCATGACAAACGGACAAAAGTGGAGAACGAATCGTCTCAATTAGACATCAATAATGAAAGTTCGTACGAGAGTAAAGAAAACACGTATAGCCAAGTTTCGAACAGAAAAGTCGACAATCATGAGAGTTCTTCCAGAAACGAACGCAGCGTTCAAAATGTATCCACATCTCAAGTTGACACTTTCGCCATTTCTCATCACAGTTCTGGGGACAGCGAGAAAAATTTGTCGAAATCCGTAGTCGTCAGATCAAAGGACAGAGATTTTGAACAGTAAGTAAAATATGTTTATGCGTGTTTATGTATACGTTTAACTTTCCGAAACGCTATTTGAAGCAGCACGCGTAGGTTTCGCTAGCGAAATCTTGAATCACACTGAAGTCATGTGTGTTGAAAAGTCTAATAATAAACTGTGCATTCACACTACATCGGGCAAAGCATTGTAAAAATAGATTCTCTGCAGAAGCGGTTCGCATGTCGGGCTTGCACACGCATATTTTTGCGCGTTCTTTGAGTTCTCACATCTCTCTCTGTTTTTCTTCAGAATTTTATCCGCACGCGAAACCGCGCTCACATCGCGTAAGAACTGCGTCGAGGAGTGGATGGCTTGGCACGCAAGATTAAGAGCGGAAGAGGACCGTGTAAGCCGTATGGAGCAGGCGGCGTTCAAACTTGTCGCAGCAGCATCGAATGTCTTATCTCAGCAAGGTAATATAATGTACTTTCGAGTGATTTTAAAAATTCGGGCCAAATCATGTACGTTGCTGATCAATTTAAAGTTAAATAATAGTCACAGCTCTCAAGTTCTCGTCGAGGCAAACAACGATTTATTATTCTAGGACCTCGAGAACCACACAATAATTATAACATTTACGTTCATTAAGTATAACATTCGCATAATTTCCAACTCTGATCACGATCAGAGAGAGGTCTGTGTTCTTTTATAGATACCACTCTCTCGTCCGATACAAGCGATGTCGAAGGAAGGATAGGACTTCTTACTGAGAAATTGGCGGAACGACGTATCGAAATGGCGCGTCTAAAAAGGGAAGCAAAGAGGCAAGCAAAGAAGCAACTACGCGCTTTGGAAGCAAACCTGCTGAATCAGATTAAGGTAAGTCTACACTGAACGATAATTCGATTATTTTCTACAAAATTCCTGTTTTTGTTCAACAGAGATATGACACGACCATCCACGAGATGCGCAAAAAATTGGAAACAAAGAAAGGTATTAAAGAAACTGATAAGCTAGCTATAGAGCCAAAGTCATTGGCTGACTTCAAAGTACCTGAAATACCGCTTAAGAGAATACAGGATATCTATAAGAGCAGCGATTTACTGAGATCCAGATCGGAATCTGATCTTTTAGCGACGAAGAATCAGCAAAAAGATTTGCTGAAGATCGTGACGCCGATAGCGTATGACAACAAACGTGAGAGAGATACTTTACAGAAATCTGCAAAATCCACGGATATCAAGAGCACGAACGCAAGAGGACTGAAGAGTATTACGGATATTAATCACAGCAGCCAAACTATTTTGGACGAGTACACAGAAGCATATGATAAAATTCCAACGGTGACTTCCGTGTCATTAGCCTCGCATAGTGCACTTTCCGGAAAGCATGCTCTTTCCATAGAAAAGCAGATCGATGTGAAGCAAAGTAGCGTGTCGCGCGATGCTGAAAATAGTGAAAAGAATCTCAGTACGGTTAGATCGGAATTGGAAGTGCCAACGATCTCGGATGCGAGTACCAAATCGACGGATAACAGACCGATTTCTAAAACCGATCAATCGAAGATTCTCACGATACAGTCGGAGATGCAGGAAGATGTCGGCTACTCAAAATCTATTCCGAACAAATCCAATTATTCTGTGGAAAATATTACACGCATTACCGATTCCAACATACTCACTTATTCGAGGAAGTTGGACTATTTGCAGCTAAACAATAAGAACTTGAGCGAAGATATAAGTTCTATTGAAAACGACATTAAGGCACTCTCTGAAATAATGTCCCGTTTGAGTAACGAATCGAATGAGAAATCTAAAGCGGATAACGATGAAAGAAATACGTCGCAAGATATATCGGAAATAATATCCAAGTCAGTCTTCAGCGACAAAATCTCAAACATTGCAAACGACGAAAAGCAGGCAATATCGCACGAGAAGGAAATTAATACCGATTCTCTTTCCGGTTCGGCAAACGACAGGAAATCAAAGTCGCCCAATGATTCTAGCCGTGGCAGCTACGTATCAGACAAAATAAATAACGAAGTATCGGCAACGATCCCAGAAGAAGCATCTATTCTTTCCAATTCGGCTCGTATTGAAATCGATTATGAAGCCAAAAGCAAGGAGATAATGAACGAAATTGAGAAATCTATAATATCGGAACACATTAAGGAAACACTTGACGATTACAACACTTCATTGGAAAATGAAAACGAGGAATTGTTAAATGAATTGATCTCAGAGCTCGATGTAAAATCTATTTCTGAGATTCTTTCCAAAGTATCGGAGAGCAGAAGAAGTCTCGATCTCGCGACAAATGTAACAACGGAAATCGTCAGCGACGCGAAGAAAGATAGAAATGTTGCTGAAATATTAGAAGCTGAAGCTATTACCGATGCAAAACCGTTGAAGAACTTTGATGAAGATATTCAGACACCGGCACTCGATGAAACCGTAAATTCAGTGGCACTCGCGTCTAAGGCCGACCGAAATCAATCGCATACAATCAGCGCGGGGAACATTTCGCAGGACAAAGACGATTGGACGACATCTGATTCGTTTGAAGTGCCGCAAGATGAAATTAGCACCGGAGACCGAGAAGAATTCGAGAAATCGCAATCGCGCTTGGATGATAGCTCGAGTAATTTCTTGGAAAAGGATGTATCAGCGTTCATTCCGAAAGGAGAGTCCACTAAGGTTGAGATGCACAATGTCACAATTGATAATACATTGGTAGAGTCTCACACGAAAACTAACGATGAACTCGACGACATACTGGATATAATTTCTAGGGAAAATAATCAAGAGAAAAACATTTTTAATAATGAAAATGAAAAACGTGATGTACTCTCCGATTCTATGGCCGAATTATTGGACAAAGTTAAGGATTTTGCAGAAAATGATGAAAAAATCGAGGATAATCATTTTGGAGAAATCTTACAAGCTACCGGTGAAAGCGACGATAAACCTGTTGTAAATATAAATCTGCGCGTGGAAATTGATAACGAAGAGAGTCCACGTGAAACGGTATCGGAGGCACAGGAAATTATAATAACAGAGCTGGATTCGGAGAGCATAGAAGATAACGTATTATCGGAACTTGAAATTGATGCCAAAATTGAATTGGCTGAAGAAGAGGAGCCCGCTGCTACGAGCAATGTAAACGAAGGCAGGGATTATTATGTCGTGGAAGAAACAGACATGCCCGTAGAAATAAAGGAATGCCTGGAATCAATTTTGGAACAAGACAGTTCGGATGGCGAACAGCTGGATAATCTGGTGGAAGTTGCTGAAAGTGGATTGGATACTGTGGAGAAACTCGTCGCACCCTCGCGAGATTCCCCTGATTTAATAATAGACAATGCGACGCCTGTGCAAAGTGAAGAAGCTAAAGAATCAGCAGATGGCACAGTTGAACAGAATGACGAAATCGTGATAACAAGTGCACCAATAATTGCAAATTTAAACAAAACTTTCGAGATATTTAAAGATCCTGAATACGAAGATATCTCGGAGGAGAGTCTCGAGGTGTCTGAAATTTTAGATAAGAATGACTTATCTAAAGCAGGCGTCGCGAAAAAATCTGCCAGCTTGCCGGAGAAATATCAGGCAGTGCAGAAATCGGTGGAAGTGCTGAGAATACTGGACGAAATTTCGCAAAAATCTTCGCCCGACTCTATCAGCAATTCGCAGAAAAGCGAGAAGGATGCACGGAACGCACAAAGTCCGACGGAAGAGATCAGTGAGCTCCTGGGTGCGGAGGTTTCCGCGGAGGACGACAGTTCATCTCCCGAGATGAACAGAATAACGAAGGACAAGAGAGATGAATCGGGAAATCGATCCTTGGAAGGAGCCGAATTACACGACAGAGTGGAGGCTGGCGGTGTAGACTTGTCCGAGGAAAAAAGTCCGGTTCCTTTGAGACTGGATGAGCATAATAGAGACGACAAGCCTTCTCAGATAATATACGAATTACGCGAGAGAGTGTCGCAGCTGCAGGAGCAGGATGTTTCGTCCGAATCCAGCGAAGCCGGCGATACACCGAGAGGTGTATCCGAGATCGAGATGGACTCGCCGAGAGATTTCAACGATTCCAGACTGGACATGGATATCCTGGACGACGATCTGTTGAGCGGCACTAAATCGGCGAATCAGAGCGTCGACGTGAAGAGTAATTTCCATTCTGCGTCTATCGTCGCCACGTCGGAGAAGGATATCGAGGCCATGATCGATAAAATCAAAGGTACTATCTCTATTTCATTATGACAATCCAATTACCGAGATATATTAGAGTATTATATATTCTTGATGAAATTAGAGAAACGTAGTAGATGAATATATACAAAGTCATTAGAGGATCAACTGTAAATTGTACCATAATCGATTCGAGTTCTATATCGAATGTATGAATCAATATTAATCCTATATTATCGTTCTCATCCATGTGACTGTACATATTCTTTCAAAACTTGAAACGTTATGTATACTAATGTGTGTTGCTCAAAGTAATGATACATATATTACGACCCGATCGATATCGCTGTCGAATGGGTTGTTCGATCTAACATGCCGGACGGTAAATCGTGATCATATTGCAAAATAATAGTTTTTGAAAGATGCTATTCGAAGGATTCAATTGCGAGAGTCGAATAACATATTTCAACCGACCAACCTTTATATGTTGAGAGATAGTGGGTCTTTTTTTCTTCTCTTTACGAATTATTGTTGTCGTTCTCGACTAAAAAATCATGCGATGCATTTTTTATGTGGGCTGATCATCTCAGAGACACACTCAGATACATATTTACACATCTCGATCTATATACACATTATACTACAGAAACACACCTTTTGTTTTTTATAATGGCTGTGTGCTCTCCTGTGCAAAAGCGTTGCCTGGTATAGCCATGTGTTGTTTATTTTCAGACAAATAGCAAAGTCGAGATTATATTTGTCTAAAGGTAATACACGAAACTACGAATGATACGAACATTGACTTGTTATCTCTGTACAAATCAGTGTCGCATGAAATGCTTGATCCTTTGACTATTATAATCCGTATGTGCACACAAGAAAGGCCTGTAAATATCGTTGCATCACAACACGATTGTTCATCAACTCTATTACCTTCTACCTTTCTCTCTCTCTCTCTCTC